AAAATGCAGAGGTATAGAGGATTCGACAGGAAATGATCAAGCGTATGATCTTGGAAGATCGTATAAAATCTTGTGACTTCTTATAAGGTCGTATAATTTCTTATACCTTCTTTGTGTAAGATCTTGTACATTCCTATGATAAGAAAAATCTTGTAAAATCTTATAAGAATCTTGCTACAAGATGTCATATGAAATCTTGTAAGATCTTATAAGAAATTGATAAGAATTGATAAGATCTTTTGAAATCTTATGATTTCTTATTATACGATCACCCAAGATCGTATATGATCTTGTAAGATCTTCCAAGATCTTGTTATCTAATCCTTGGACCTGGGTAGTACAAAATATGAAAGTGGAAATTTACACGAAAACAGAGAAACTGTAGAACAGTCAAACTATCCGTAGTATTTTTTAATGTATTAAATTGTTTTTAAGCGTGTAAAATATCAAGAGGCTGGGAAGAAAGTATTCTTATGCTACCAAGTGTGCTCGTTATCATTGCATATAACAGATTGCGTTTAAACTTAGATTTACAATACAACTGAGTGATGATTTACCAGATAACAAGAAAAAATTTGATCTTTCAACATAGCATACTGGAAGAAAGTAAGTTATTGAACTTTTGTATTTGGATATGATAGAAATATCATTTTGATTTGGCATAAAAACAATCAAAACCCAGAAGACTTTGCTTTGGATATACTAAGACTGAGCGCTTTACGATGGTGTGAAACTGCTGCACGAAAATGGTTTTTATGTACACCAGATAGTAAACTAAATATCTGTTTACGAACATACCTCCTTAGAATTAAATGCTACTTTTTGTCCAAAAAAGTCTTAATCTTAGATAGATCTTAATTAAGGTCTTGATACAAGAAGTCAGGAAAACCTGGTCAAAACTCTAATTTCTTGAATAAGAGTTTTCCAGAAGGGAAATCTCCTAGACATCTCAAAAGGATGTCTCTTGGATTCTCCATGTCTTTTTACCTATATGAACCCATTTAAATGAAATTTGAATCGAAACCAGAGGAGTTAGTTGTAACGACTTGGCCGTTTTTCCTGTGTGCCAATAAAACTCACTTTTCTCAAGCTCGAAACAATATTTTAGAAAAAGCGGTTCATATTTTTAAGGCTAGCGTTTCAGTGATTCCAATGAAACAAAAAGCTTGGCTACATCTCTTCTCAGGGAAAAACTAGATAGGTTTGCAAAATGCCCGGGTATTATTTGAGAGTGGGAGCTCCAGACGAGCATAATGGGTAGCCCTTTGGCTTTAAATTCGATCCAAAATCATTTTCATACTCAGTTTTTAATACTCAATCTAGAAAACATACTTGCAAAAAGTGAGAAAAAAGAAAAAGACGAAAATTTGAAGGTTTTTGAAACTGGAACATTCTTTGAAATTTTAGACTTTTGAAGTTGTCTGTCAATCTTTTTCCCTCAGAAAAGTTTTTGAAAAAATTAAAAACTATTTTTTCTTAATCAGTTTGATGGAGCTCTATCTATACCATTTGTATAAAAACGGAAAAAAGTTTTGCTCTAAGTTGAACTTTTCGGTACCTTATATTGAAATGCTTCTGAAGTGTGAAGCTGTCAACATTGTGTAGACATCCATTCAATATTGTAATAACCATATTATTCGCGTAATAGTAAAACTTTTACTTCGAGACTGTTTTTTCTTCTATGCAGTTAGAAGAGCACAAACCAGAGTCTATTAGCATTTAGAATCTTATTTTTTTAATCAACACACATCAGGATGAGATAAGAAAACGTCTGAAAAGAGCTAGTTGGAAATTCCTTCAAAGATGTTTGTCGGATAAACCAGCTTTTCAAGAACTATTCTCAATAAAATTATTGTGAACGACAACAAAATAAAAAAATTCATCAAATAAAAGTATAAACGCAAAAATAAACATGTTGAAAAGTGACTATATATTTTCTATTATGAATATCCATTTGTCTGTTCTGCAAGTTGTAACTGGATAATTTGTGATGGAGGAATTTGCAATTCTTGATTAACCTACGTAGAGAAAATAATATCTAAGTCACATGTTTGTAAAGTAACTCCAGTACTCTGCTACTTACCTTCGATTGCATGTATTTAGCCAATAACATTCGAAGTTCATCATTTTGTTTACTCAAACCCGCATTTTCATCAATGAGTTTTGAACGAGTCGTTAATATTGAACTAAAAAAGAAAGAAAATTTATAATCATCAAAATGATATTTTAACAGATAATATACGCATACTGGTATTTTTGAAGACCCAATAATAAGGAATCCCATAAACGTTCACGTCGTTCATCGATAACATTCGCATATTTTGACCAATATTCACTATCCAAAGAATCATCTCTATCGTCTAGAGTGGCTACTTTGTATGCCGCTTGAGAATTCATTCTAAAATAAGTATCAGATTTTGTGTAAATAATTGATTTAGAAAATGTAACGAAAAAATGTCATTACTTTTTAAGATTACGATAATTTTTTAAAAATTCTTTTAATGCTTTCAAAACATGATTCGGATGGATTAATTCAACATGATGTACAACAGTTTTTTCATCGGGCTGTTCAACATCCTAAAATGAGTTTAGACAAAATTTATTTTTCTAGAAAATATACATGTAGAAGTTTTAATTTAACTAACAAATTTAACGATGACCTCTTTGAATTATTACATAAACGTTTTTTTTCGTATTTCATTCGTTTTCCAAGGTTTTGAAAAAAAAGTTAATAGTCGATTATGAAAATTTCGTTTCTTCTGGCTATTACCTCTTCAGGTCCTGTTCCACTTGACACATATGTTTTCTTAGATACTTCTTGAATATGAACTTCATCAATGAAAAATTTAGCCATTAATTTAATATCATCTTCGTTTTCAATTTTTAATGCACGAAATACGGCATCAAGTTTAATTAAACTTTGTTGATTTTCATCTAATGGTTCGAGTAATGCTAGTAATTTGGGTTCAATTAAAAATTCCTACCGAGAAAAAGTAATCTAAATATGTTTACATTCAGTTAATGATATCTCAGCACTTACCCCCTCGTCACAAATTAATTCTAATATGGATTTCATACTCTGATTTGATAGATTATAACCTGCTTCTTGAACACCAGTTTTTATTTCAAAACCATCAGTTTTTTCTTCTCCTTCTTCTTGTGCTCCTGTTGATGTATCAATAGTTACTCTTCTTCCGCCTTGCTGATCTCCTGTCATTTTTATACCACCACCGCCAGTTGCCATATTCACATCGGAAGCTTGCAAAATTTCTTTAACAACTTCAATCGAAGATTTTGGTACTTTTGTTGCATCAATTGGACCAACATTATCCATAAATGAACTAAAAATATGATATAAAATAAAATTGAATTAATTTTCATTTATTATCTCTCACGTACATATCTGGTTGTTCCCATTCGAGTCCAAGTTGTTGTTCAAAAATGATTCGATCGGCTTCAAGTAATTTTTTTGCCATATCTTTACATTGTTCTTCATTCATTATCCATAAATCTTGAAATTTTTCTAAATCAGCTGTTAGAAAATGTCTAAAGATACAAAAAGAAATATAAATATCAATTATCGATAAATATCATTTATAATGATCATTTTTACTTTGCTTTTCGTTTAATTTCTTGAATATTTGCTAACGTGCGTTTATATTCTTCGGCTGTTTGTATACTTTCGGTTCTATTAAATACAGAATAATAAAATAATTAAAATATTTATTAGTATATGTACACATCGTACTTGAATTGTTTTTCTTTTTGATTTAATTTCTGTTTTAGACCAGCTAATATATCAGTCAATTTGATTTTACGTGTTTTTTGTATGCCAAGTGTAACCTAAAATCGAAGCAAAGAGTTCATATTCTCTCACATTTATAATTTATGATATTTACCATATTTTCCTCATCACGTTTTTTTAATACTTTATAATTGTATTCATATTTTTCTTGACTCAACTGATACACAGCCTTCATCTCTTCAATTTTTCGTTGTTGTTCCTAAAGAAAATTTTTTTCTTAAACATAAGTCTTTGTAAAAAGATAGAAGCTTACTTGAATTTGAGTTTCTAATTTCAATTTTGTGGCATTAAATTCTTCCGCTTGTTTTACACGTAAACGCTGTAATTCACGATCAAATTCATCAGAGCGTTCAAATCGTGCTTTAACAAATTGTTCCTAAAAATAGATTTAACTGATAATGACCTCCAATAACATGTCATAAAACAAGACATCTTTCATGAAATCAATATACGAGTTTTACTAGATTTCTGGCAATAGAGACATTCCTTCATTCAATATCAGTCTATTCATTAATATATATGAGAGTTAGTAAGAAAAGACATTAAACTTGTACAAAACTTTATTGAGAGCTATTTGTCTATAATACCTCTTTAAAACGTCTTTCTTCAAGTTTTTCATTCCATTCTTTGTGATACTTTTCTAAAAGTTCTTGTCGTTCTTTAATAAATGCTTCCTGAAAATAAAAGATAAAACGTATATAAAATTGTTTAAACATGAATCAATTCATAACAACAAACCTCAATTGAATACAGTTCTTTTGCATAATACATTCGTCTACTTTTGATTTGTTCATTCATTCGTTCTACAAGTAATTTGATACCTTCATCGAACTTTTTTAACATTTTAACATAATGATCATCTTTATTTTTCAACTCCTTTTTGTTTAATAAAGAAGAAACATGTCAATCGAAGAATATTCACCATCAACAAAATATTATTTACCCTTTCAAATTCTCCAATAAGTTTATTTTTCTGTTCCAACATTGTAAAGCAGGCTTGTTTTTGATCCATGAGAAGCTAGAGTAATAAATATGAGCCGTAACTCATAGACGTATACTTCTGTTTAATCGTACCTCATGCAATTCCCGAGGAATATCCTTCGTGCGGGCACTTTCCCAATTCCGAATAATCTTTAAATGAATAACAAAGCGTTCTAAGATTCTCAACCATTGACTACTGATCGACTCACTTCTTCAAATTTTTCTTTTGATGATTTAGCATCTTGTTCAAGACGCTCATTCCTTTTTCTCGTCGCTTCTTCTTCTTGTTGACGATGTTGATGTTCATTCAAATCTTGTCCCACACGTACATTTGTTACCTAGTAATTGATCATTACTATGATTAAAAACAAAAAAATGTAATCAACTTACAAATTCTAATCCATCATTTTCCAATTTAGTCAAGCGTTGTCGAGATTGCTCAATTTGATCTTTTGCTAGACTAGAAATTTCATTGTTTTCTTCGTCAACAGGTGTGACAATACCAAGTCCTTTACTAAACAAAACAAGCAGACACGATAATTAGATTTCGACACACATTACATCACCCTGAGACGTATTAACCTCAGTCAGATTCACAATTTTTTTTTAACATTAAAAAGACTGCATATTTGAATATATTTTCTGCTTTTACATTGAAATTTAGACCACAATCTGTTTTAGAAAATGAATCTTCATACAAACGATAAATATTCTATGAGAAGCGCTTTAATAGAAAAGTAGTTTAGTCATTTAATGATAACCTTCGTGTAAGTACCGTTTTTTCTGAGCAAGACGTTGTGTAACACGTGCTCGTCGCGCTAGAATTCGTTCTTCGCGATTTTGCGATGTTAGTGATGGTCCTTGGTTATCTTCATCATTTTTGGATTTTTGATTAATAGCCAAAAGTTCCATTATGATTCAAAGAGGAAATAAATTGTCAAACGAGTATATTGTGTTTGAACCGCGTCTTATCTCATTATTGTAGAAAACGTTTTGACGGTCTGCCATTCACGATAGCGTAACTATGGAAAAATGACTTACGATGCGCATCTTCATTCAATTTTGAAGGCAAATGCTTACAATTTTTATTCTGTATGGACCACTTATTTCGAACAAAATTAACTTTTTTACTGTCTTTAGTTTGATAGATGTCACTACTCAATACTACATAACATTAAACATTACTTACCACAGCGTTCAGTGTAGGGATTCCCCTGCATATTTTTTAATTTCGAGAGAGTTGCATTACCTCTTCAAGAATGAAAAACTCTTTTTTACAGGACCACTCCCCTGCTATGAGATGCTAGGTACGCCTCTGGTTTAGTGTTAGTATACAAGCTGCTGTTCGACAAATTAACCTAAAATATTTTTTATTCTTCACATAGTTATTGATTTTTTCGAACAGAAAAGTTTATCAGAGATTATAAGATATAAAAAAAAAATAACCCTAAACAGTAATAAATAAAAAAACAGCGTATCATTTATCTCACACGTTCAATTTCACAATTTTCGCATGCTTCGTATTGTTGTTACCATGCGTGCCGGTTTATTTTTAGCTATTTCATCAAATTTTTCATCATCTTCAGCACTCAATAGTTGGATTAAATCACGGAATGAGCCAATATCCTTTAATCCAAAATCCTCGAAAATACTGTACAAATAATCTAAAATAACAGATAATAATGCGAATAGTTAAGACAAAATGTGCAATGTTTAATGATTTTTTAATTCTAACGGTGGATTTCTCCCTCATATCGCACTTTAGACTACTAAATCATTCTTCTGCAACTTTTTGCAATATATAAACAGAATGCTACTTGAAAAAATTGTAAATTACTTTTCTCCTGACTTACAACTTATAACAATCACTCGCGTCTGAATATGAGAAACTCTTAAAGTACAGCTTAATAGAATCAATCGGAACAATTGGTACCAGTCTAGTATTCTACATATGGAAAAAAATCGCAAGTTTCTGACGATTTTAATGACAACAGTTACCACTTACTCAAGTCCATCGTTAACTGCTTTAGACCATTCGTACTAAGAACTTGAATTTGTAATGTTTCATCCATACAGATTTTCATCGCTCCAATAGCGACCGCATCTAACCAATAAGACGTTAAGTCCGTATATGAATCTTGAAAAAAATCGAAGTGACATAGAACAAGTAATACGATAAATAATTTCATTGAAATCTACCTTTGTCTTCAAGATATGGCAATTTTCCTTTTTTAAATGCCGCACCCAATTGACGATTGTCGTGTAGATTAAACGGTTCAAAATGTTGTGGTAACATTAGTAAATGCTGACCGACCTTAAAAACGAAGACTGGAACTATTCCAATAGTCTCAAGCAAGTTTTTACTTACTTTTGTTATATTTTCTTGTGGTACAAGAGAAAACGATGGTAAATCCGTGACAATTGTTCCTCTATTTTCACTTGCCCAAACCTAAGTAAAACAATAAAAAATGATCTACTCTGTAATGTATAATAATCATGTTCCATACTGGACTTTTTGAAAATCCGTTCAATAAACTATTTATCGGTAAAAATACAACGTCAAATGCAAAACGATGACAATCATCACTGAATTTCGATAATAGTTTTGGAATGTCAGGAAATAAACTATAGTCTGCATCTATTCGACAAAAAAAAAATGAGATAAATAATCATTTATTTCAAATGTATCGTTTTTTGTGTGTATCTTACTTTCAAATGTAGTAATAATTGATAAAAATTCTTGTTGATTTGTTTTACTCAAAAATAAATCGACAGAAAAATCAAATGGATCTTGTTTTTGTCTAAAACGGAGAAGAAAAAACATTTCATAAAAATTTTTTTAAAAATACTATTGAAATTATTACTTGTTGGTCTTGCGTTGCCATTCGTTAACTATTTGTAACATTTGTTGAGCTAGTGCTGATTCAAACTGTTCATAATGAAGAATAAAATCGCCTAAAAAATTAAATAAGTAAATATTCGATCATTTTATCTCTATAAAGAAATTTCTCTTACCACATAGTTCTAAAATTCTTATCGTTTGACGAAATAATTCCCAATCTTCTGTACCAAGTATTTTCGAATGTCTTTCACGTACATTATTTACAACACGTTTCAGTTCAGTTAAATATTCTTTAAAAAATGACTAGAAAAAATTAAATAAAAGAAAATATCTTTTATCAATTTGTATTTATTATAAATATATACTTGTAAAGGATCGAGTAAACTAACAATTGTTCGTCCATTTGTAAACTGTTTACATCGTTCAATCGTCTAAAACAGCACAAACACATCCAATTTAAGTATACATCAGAATAGATGACTAACATACATCATTTGCTAGAGAAAATACAACATTGATCGACGATGATAATAGATGAACAGTGGCAATTGTTTCATTAGAATACTGAAATTAAACGTAAATAAGATTTAAAATGAACGAACACTGATTGTTTATATTTACTAGCTTACAAGAGTTATGTTATCAAGTGAACTTTTCAAGTTATTCTTTTCATATGTGGTATAGTTTTTAAATATATCTTGATATAAAGTGTATAATTCAAATACAAATGTTTCTATTGTGGTAAGACTAAAAGTTTCTAAAAATAAAAATAAATTCTAAATTAAAATATTTTTGTATGAAAATAAAGAAAATGCTATATTTTATTTAACCTGTCAAAATTTGTATGCCTGTTATATTTCGATTATACAATGGTTGTAAAACATTTTGCATAGATTTTCCAAAACGATCGGTTACCTAAATAAAACATCAACAACAATTGATTTCATTCCATACTATACAAACAAAATTTATTTGATTTATATTCTACGAAATGTACTTAATATACAGATAATCTTATATATTTATAGTTCTATTAGAGTACATTGTATTTCTTCTTTTCTAGATATACGCATAATATTCAGTTAATAGATAAAATAACAGAGAATAATTCTCTCTAGTGTATATTGACGTACAAATATGTTACAAAATAATGTTTGTGTACCAATAAGGATGAAGTCAGTGTATACGAGATATAAGATATATATCAACTTTAATTATGATTAAATAAGATATGATTAGTGTTCCAGTAGAGAAGAAAAGATCAGCAAGTTAAAATGAAAACAAAATGACCTTTAACGGCCCCCCTCCCCCCAGCGAAGAAAACGTTTTTTATTTCACATTCGATTTCGATGGCGCTTACAGGAATTAATGCTTACTGTGCACGTAACTTATGCTAAAAATTTGAGCTCGAAACGTTGGAGCGTTGCCATGTTATTGCGTGACAACGGGCAAAATGAGACTCTTAGCAAAAATGTATAGCCTTTGTTGGTAGAAAGAGCAGAAAGTTCCGGGAGATCTTAAATAAAAATAGACACTTAAATCTAAAATTTGTCCGTAGCGTCCTAATTCGGCGGAGTATTTGCCTCATATCTCTGCAAAGAAAACGAAATTCTAAAAACGCTACGGACAAACTTTAGATAAATGTCTTAGCTTCAAAATAAAAAAAGAATGAAGGTTTTACATCGAATCGTCTAGGAGTTAATACAACTTTGCTGCGCCAAAACTATATTCTAAGCAATGACGTCATCACTTCAGTAATTATAGTTCACTGCGCCTTTAGCAAAACTAGTATAACTCTGCAAGACAAAATCACACAAACCTGCTGGACATCTCATTCTGATCAGAACACTCTGCTCAACATAGCTCCATGTCTGTTAAAACTGATAACTAAATAATTTTAATTAAAATGTGAAATTTAGAAAAAGGTGATTTTTAGGGCTTTCAGAAATCTTTGTCAAAAACCTCCAAAAACATTGAATTTTTGGCAAACTGAGCTGGATTCTGAAAGATGACACTTTGGGATACTGGATCGTAGGGTTACTTCAGTTTCGAAGATTTTGAAGAAAACATCGAATTTCGCTGTGTGGGAGGAGGGGGCCCTTAAAGAAGGAAAAAAATAAATTCTCAATTAAACATAAAATAATTTCGTGAAACAAACGAATTATTATGATGAAAATATAGAATACATTAGTAAAAATTTCTATTCAAACTACAGTTTCCGCTTATACACACACACACACACTTTATTCTTCGTTTTCCGTATCTATGAGTCATTCACAGAATAGGAAGACACGTTTTTAGCGAATATTCTCAATACTCCATTTGATATTGTCCCGAGATGTGTTTATACTGAAGTTAGACATCAATCCTTTTAGATTTATATAATGGGAGAAAAAATTCTTTTTTTTATCTACAATATAAATTTAGTTTTAACAGTTAGAAAAAATTTCGGTAGACTATTTTCAACAATTACAGGAATGTTTTCTTTCATTGGGTATACGCAAGGTATTATTAACTAGCATTGCCAGTCTATTTATTTATTGTAAATAGATCGAGACATTACATTCAAGTCAAAATAATAGACTATGATTAAGCTATTAATTGATCGTAAACAAAAAAATGATTGAATTCTCATATCAGAAAATTGTCATGATTAATCAAAGAACTAAAAACATGCGTGACAATGAAACTATATGGAATAATACGAATGAACGTTTGATTTAAAAATTAATTTTTGAGTTAACAAAGTGATTATTTTTCACTTTATGTTGAAGAATATCATTTTTACACATCTATCATCATTTAGAAATTTGTACTTTAACTCTAAGATCACGTTACATCTTCTTAACCTGCTGTTTTAATAATATATTACACTCTAGTCTTTACTATTCACATTATTTGATAACAATTTTTGTTACCAAACTCTTTGCAGATTGGTGATACTCAGTGTGTTTCATAGAACATATGTCATAGGCAAATTTAGAATTTGTCTAGGCAAGTATAGAATCGAAATGTTTGTTTATTTCTATTCTAATTTTGTTTTGACAAACAGTAACATCTGACATCCTGAAAATTGAGATATCTGAAAAGATGTCAGTATGATACATATAACGGAGACATACATCATCTTTTCTTTTTCCTAATTTCTAATTAGTAAGAGGACGAAGGTGGAGGAGGATTGAAAGTGGGAGTGAGCTAATTGATAATATTTCAACTATAGAAGTTTTAGATTTGTCTGACTCATTCCCAATTTCGATCCTCGCCATCTCTATCCTCTTACTAATTAGATATTGGGAAAAAGAAGAAATGTATCATGCAGACATTTTGATTCTACTTTTGCCTAGGTAAATTCTAATTTTGTTTGTAATGTATACGTAAAAGTATTTGTACAACGAACGATCGAATATAAAGGAAGATTAATATGAATTTTAGACTGTATCTCATAGTTTAGTGGTAGCGTACTGAACTAGCTAACAACTAATCCTAACTTCACTATCTGAAATATTATTACAATTTATCCTTCATGGTTTATGTTCCATTATAATAACGTGTCAAAATCAGATATTATTTGTTACTTTGATAGACTTACGAGGGAAGTACCCCAACTGATAAATCGCTTTTTCAACGAAACCGAGTAGACTATAGATAGTCGACGATGCTGATTCCGAATATCACCATGAATACTGCTGCTAGGCCTTCAAAGACCGGTCTTCTGGAAAACCAGTTTTCGAGAAACTCTAAAGAACAACCGAAAGCTTTCTTAATGAGGCGTAATTGTAGTCCATAAATTTCTGATTAAAACGAGGCATCTCCCAGCTCTACACGATCTTTCTTTGCAAAGTT